CCACAGGAGGACGGCTGCTCTCTGAGTGTGAGCATAGCCTTGATCTTTCAGTGGGGGCTTTGGGCAAAGTGGGGTTAAGTGTCTTGCCCAAGGACACAACGACAGCAGCCATCAGTGGGAGTCGGTGGAGAAGGTGCAGAGGTGGGAATTGAACCCACGACCTTCTGGCCTTAAGGCCAATGCTCTACCAACTGAGCTACTGTCGCCCCATATAGAAGAACTAAATACTTTAAATTCCACTAATGCGACCAGAGGACTCTCCCTAAACCGTCTCCTGCGTGAGTGAAGTGGGATCGTCGGCACAAACGTTGCCGACTCTTGTAGATCAGTGAACATCAGAGTTGTAAAAAGCTGCACCTTATTTACTAAATCTAATTATGAGCTTCCTCATTAAGTGGAATATTTGTCTCTGATGACCTACTTTGATAAGCTTTGCTCTAAGTTAAGCCCTTTGTCTCTGGTTCTCACTAACTTTCTGGAATATCCACCGCCTTAATTACGGCTCCAAAGTGAATTCTGCTGCTGGTTCGTACACAGCAGGAGAATGTTGGAAATAAGAGGCAAAAACACGTGTCTGGGAGAACTAGAGACGGTTTTATTCATATTAGTTTTAATGTCAACAGACAAACAACACTTTAGTTATATAAAAACAGTGAAAGAGAATAAGGACAATACAGGTGACACTTTAGACAGATTTGAACTAGTTTAAAATGCATTTCATTTTGTGGTTTCAAAGTTGTGGCAATGTATTCACTGCAAGAAGTGATGAAAAATAAGTCAGAAATTTCACGTCTCAAATTTCACAAATTGTATCTTAATTTGAGCATATTTTGACTGCGTTAAAACTAGATTTACCAACGGGACAAAGCAAAATGATATTGTTTTTAAAAGATATTGAAATTGGAATGATAAAATAGAGCAACAGTCCTTGAGATTAGACTAAATGGCTTTGTCCCTTTTGCCAAATCTCGTCAAAATAAACTCAAATTAAGATCAAAACCAACCAATTCAAGCAATTATTACCTCATATTGTATCATTTTGTGCAGTGTCCTCCTGTAGATCTTAGTAAAGTCATCGTTCCATCCCATTCTGACAAATCCACATCATAACTCCCCATTTCCTCTAACTCCAAAATATCCTCTCCTCGGCCTGACCTTCTGCCCAGAGCCAGGTGGTGTCTCATAACGGCATGAAGCGAAAGATAACCGTATTTTGGCAAGTAATGCTTCCCAAGTGGACACTAATCTAACACAAAGTCTGCAGTGTCCCGGCGGAGTCCAGCCGACAGAGCGCTCTGTGTCCGCCGCTCGCCGCTAATCACCCACTCATTAAAGCTGCCTCTAATTCAGTTGGATGTTATGCTCCTTTAGTTAAATCCAAGTGCTTAATTTTTACTGCCTAATTACATTTCAGTGCCTTGCAAACATGAGGAGCCAAGTGGAAAGGAGGATTCTGAGAAGAGAGGCGGCTTGTGTGTGTGGAGTTCAGCAGGTCTGGTGTGTGTGTGTGTGTGTGTGTGGTTCAGCAGGTCTGGTGTGTGTGTGTGTGTGGTTCAGCAGGTCTGGTGTGTGTGTGTGTGTGGTTCAGCAGGTCTGGTGTGTGTGTGTGTGGAGTTCAGCAGGTCTGGTGTGTGTGTGTGTGTGTGTGTGTGTGGTTCAGCAGGTCTGGTGTGTGTGTGTGTGTGGTTCAGCAGGTCTGGTGTGTGTGTGTGTGTGGTTCAGCAGGTCTGGTGTGTGTGTGTGTGTGGGTTCAGCAGGTCTGGTGTGTGTGTGTGTGTGGTTCAGCAGGTCTGGTGTGTGTGTGTGTGTGGTCCAGCAGGTCTGGTGTGTGTGTGTGGGGTTCAGCAGGTCTGGTGTGTGTGTGTGTGTGTGTGTGTGTGTGTGTGTGGGGTTCAGCAGGTCTGGTGTGTGTGTGTGTGTGGTTCAGCAGGTCTGGTGTGTGTGTGTGTGGAGTTCAGCAGGTCTGGTGTGTGTGTGTGTGTGTGTGTGTGTGTGGAGTTCAGCAGGTCTGGTGTGTGTGTGTGTGGAGTTCAGCAGGTCTGGTGTGTGTGTGTGTGTGTGTGTGGAGTTCAGCAGGTCTGGTGTGTGTGTGTGTGTGTGTGTGTGTGTGGAGTTCAGCAGGTCTGGTGTGTGTGTGTGTGTGTGTGTGTGTGTGTGTGTGTGTGGAGTTCAGCAGGTCTGGTGTGTGTGTGTGTGGAGTTCAGCAGGTCTGGTGTGTGTGTGTGTGTGTGTGTGTGAGTTCAGCAGGTCTGGTGTGTGTGTGTGGAGTTCAGCAGGTCTGGTGTGTGTGTGTGTGTGTGTGTGTGGAGTTCAGCAGGTCTGGTGTGTGTGTGTGGAGTTCAGCAGGTCTGGTGTGTGTGTGTGGAGTTCAGCAGGTCTGGTGTGTGTGTGTGTGTGTGTGTGTGTGGAGTTCAGCAGGTCTGGTGTGTGTGTGTGTGTGTGTGTGTGTGTGTGTGTGTGTTCAGCAGGTCTGGTGTGTGTGTGTGTGTGTGTGTGTGTGGAGTTCAGCAGGTCTGGTGTGTGTGTGTGTGTGTGTGGAGTTCAGCAGGTCTGGTGTGTGTGTGTGGTAGAGCCATAGATACAAATGTCTCAGAGATACCAGAGATATGTGAAGCTGGGTAAATGTAGATGAAAAGTGGTAGTTTTAAGTATAAATGATGTGAGTGTGCAGCAGCAGACGTCTGAGGCTGATTTGGAAGAAGACGGCCGCTGATTGTCCGTCGCTACGGGAAAGTTCATCCACATCACACACACATATGTATAATGCTCCCGTACTGTGTGTCTGTGTGCAATTAGTAATACCAAGAAATCTATTCAAACATGCACAGTTCTTCAAAGGTTTGGCTGAGAGAACCTACTGTTACTGAAACATGCAGCATAATAACTCTGCAACACATGGTACTCTGTGAGGTCATTCATTTAAGAACATTCTGACATGTCTGAAAACAAGATTTAGCTTGTCTCGTTGGTGAATCGTGTTTTAAAGCAGTCAAAATGTCCTCAAATTAGGACAAATGTTGCCAAATTTGAGCAATTTTTGACGTATTTCTTTAATCATGTTTTGTACTGATACTGAATTGTGTACTTTTACTTTAAGGATCAGAAACAGCCCTGGATATACGCATTCTACTTAAAGCTGAGGTACCTATTTTTCAGACAAAAATGTAGCTGATAGAATCCATATAACGATAATATAGATCTTAAAGTTATTCTGCAGACGTTATAACTGGACAATATCATTACATTATCATACAGCTGACACTTGGAAAACTAGAATATTGTCCAAAATATTCTATACTTCTGTAAGTTCCAATGTGAAACTAGTATATCACAGACTCAATACGTGCCAAGTGACTATCAACTGTTTATTGGTTATAATGTTGATAATTATGACTCACCCGCCTGTCAATCAATCAACACAGTCTCACAGCTTAAAACATTTGAGAAAATAACCCAAAATCATCAACATTTTAACAAACCAAGGCTCGACATATGTCACTTTGCGTGTAATGTAAACCTGCAGAAGTAAGCTTTCTTTTCTGTTTCTCTGAGTTTCACCTGTGATCGCTCATAATCACACGTTCCCATCACTAAACCGGCGTTCCGACCTTTTTACACTTCACTTCCCAAAGCTAACCCAACAGCCTGCTGCATAAACCAGCCTCATATCCACAAACCGACAGATGCACTGTATACGCCGCGGGTTCCCGTTACTACAATACAGTACCACCTGGTCCTCTGCCCCCTCAAAAGACCCGACCCGGGAGACTTAGTCCAGACCTGGGCCTCTCAAATCCTCTCCCCCTCCCACATGATCTGAAGTACAGGACAGGTCTGCCACTCTGCGCTGGCACTCGACCTCCCAAACCTCCCCAAAGCCGGGGCCAAGCCGGGGCCAAGCCGGATGCAGCGATTGTGACCCTCGGAAAAAAAAGAAACATCTGCTTACAAATGTCCTCTCCTTTTTGATTTATTATGATAACCATACAATAAGACGGAGAAAAAAAGGCACGATATAATTTCTGGTTATCTAAAAAGCGGCGGGAGCATTTACATTTGCTTTTCAGGCCTGGTCCGTGCGCGCTCGGGGCCGATGCACTCGAGTATAACTAAGCTAGCATGGAGGATATCCAGCCATTTAAATCAGGCCTCTGGGAGTTTTCCATAAGACATCATTGGTTTTTACATAAAGACAAAAGCGGGTCACAAAGCAGCTCCGGACCGGCGTCTTAGCTTCACGCTCCTGTGGTCACCGTTGTGCGAGGAGAACGCCTCTGCTGCGAACAGAGCCATGGAAAAAGCTGCTTATGTTTCATTTTTGAGACTCAAAACTCAAGCACCTCCAGTTTGGGCCTATTCCCAGAGCAGAGGAGCTTTTGGCTTTTGTCCTGGTTGTTTATTTACAAGAGTCATTCAGGAGTGTTTTAGCCAATTTCTGTCAATGTGAGGTATTTGACCCTATTCAAACGTGTCAGAAGTTGGATGGATGCAAACAGTGGTCCATGGACTCATGTTGGAGCCTCTTGTTTCTGAAAAGCACGGCCCACACTTGGCATCACGCACCCGGACAATCAGCAGCACATGGAGGAGATGGAGGTTCAACGTGATCATTATTATTATTATTATAAATGTGTGCTCTCTGTCCTCTGCATTTGACCCGTCCTGCAGGTGCCACTGGGCCTTCTGTCAGCGGTCGCCGTAGTAACAGCGCCTGCATCTCCAGATATTGATGCTTGGCTTGGTCAGGCTGCGGGGGCTGGAGGGTTTACTTATTGTGCATGTTTTTAGTGGTGGGGGGAAACCGGAGCACCCAGAGGAAACCTACGCAGACATAGGGAGAACATGCAAACTCTGTCTGAGAAGTGGTGTAAGAACGTGCTGAAGGTTTGACGATATTTACGTGTGTTTTTTCCCCACATGTGATTAAGATCAAGAGATTCTTTATGTTGCATCAGAAGTTACAGACAGTGGGAAGGAGGAGACCAGGTGAGCAGAGGACCATGGGAGCAGAGGACCAGGTGAGCAGGCAGAGGACCAGGGGAGCAAAGGAGCAGAGGACCAGGGGGAGCAGAGGACCAGGGGAGCAGAGGACCATGGGAGCAGGCAGAGGACCAGGGGAGCAGAGGACCAGGGGAGCAGAGGACCATGGGAGCAGGCAGAGGACCAGGGGAGCAGAGGACCAGGGGAGCAGAGGAGCAGAGGACCAGGGGGAGCAGAGGACCAGGGGAGCAAAGGACCAGGGGAGCAGAGGACCATGGGAGCAGGCAGAGGACCAGGGGAGCAGAGGACTAGGGGAGCAGAGGACCATGGGAGCAGGCAGAGGACCAGGGGAGCAGAGGACCAGGGGAGCAGAGGACCAGGGGAGCAGAGGACCATGGGAGCAGGCAGAGGACCAGGGGAGCAGAGGACCAGGGGGAGCAGAGGACCAGGGGAGCAGAGGACCAGGGGAGCAGGCAGAGGACCAGTGGAGCAGAGGACCAGGGGAGCAGGCAGAGGATCAGGGGAGCAGAGGACCAGGGGAGCAGGCAGAGGACCAGGGGAGCAGGCAGAGGACCAGGGGAGCAGAGGACCAGGGGAGCAGAGGACCAGGGGAGCAGAGGACCAGGGGAGCGAGAGGACCAGGGGAGCGAGAGGACCAGGGGAGCAGAGGACCAGGGGAGCAGAGGACCAGGGGAGCAGAGGACCAGGGGAGCAGAGGACCAGGGGAGCAGAGGACCAGGGGAGCAGAGGACCAGGGGAGCAGAAGACCAGGGGAGCAGGCAGAGGACCAGGGGAGCAGAGGACCATGGGAGGAGGCAGTTTCTCTGGGACAGTGAAGGCCACCTGAACGAGCCGCTCCGACTGTCGTGTGACTGATTGGATTCCAGCTCCCGACAGCTTCTTTACACCAGAGTTTTCTGTTTATGTGACATTGAAAGTTTCTTATGACGCGACAAATGAGCAGATCAAACCCGCGCTGACGGCCTCAAATCACAGCTTACAAGTTTGTGGCGGTTTACGGGCGACTTTACCGGTTTTACTTTGAACACATTTATGGTCTTAAAAAGGAGCCTGTATTTCTAGATAACCTAAATGTTGCTTAGTCACCATTTTTCTAAGAAACTTCTAAACATTGAAGTGGTTAAAATGAATTATGAACATATTGTTTTTATTTCAGAAGAAAGAGAATCGAGCTTTCATTGTTCAAGTTCAATTTCACGGTTATTTTTTTGTAGATATCAAAAACTGATCATTTTACTTGATCTTATCCTCTGTGTTCTTTTAACTTATCGAGTTATAACGTTATTTAGTGTGTATTCCATTCATCCATCCATTTTCTTCCACTTTATCTGTTTCCAGGTGGGCAGAAGTCTGAGCAGAGACGCCCAGGAGGATAGTAGATTAATTATGATATTTCATTATTGCATAATTAGTCCAATCAGCAGATTTAAACAATACATTTCCAAAGTGCTCTACAGGAGACCACTAAGTAATAAAAACAACAATTTCAGCTCAATTAGTAAATACAGTTGTTATGTGTGGCTTATGACCTGATAAACTTACATATTGTAGACCAAGGCTACTCGGTCCTCAAAGGGCTGTGCAGGTTTTCACTCCAACCGAGCTGGAGCACAGTCGACTCCACCCATTTCCTCAAGTCCCTGTTGTAGACCCATAACTTCACCTGTGCCTGTTGGAGGTCCTGATTTGACGAAGCCAACAAGACCACATCTGCAATGGGACCACCGCTCTGACGGCCTCAAAAGGACCCAAACCGACTGCTCCCAACACAATCCCCCAAAGGACCCCCTGCTCCTCCAGAATCTATTGGTCAAAGTTTCATCACCAGAACCTGGAGACTGAGGAGTGTGATCCCAAAATAGTTCTGAGTGAAATGCAAAGCAGAAAGTTCAAAGACCCAGTTAAGCTACTTCCTTCCCAAAAAATCATGACGATGACGATAACATGAACAAATCGCCTTCATCAAATACCATGTGCGTAATCTCACTTCATCTAAATTTAGAAAGGAATACTTTAAGTTGCTTCTAGTGATTGATGACTTGCTAAATTGAGCTAATGAGCCTTTAAATAAGCGTTTACAGAAATTAAGTGTTGAGAGTTTTCCTCCCAAACTTGGAAATACTGTTAAAACCCCCTTTAGCCAACCTCATGTCCGGCCCGTCCACTCACGGCCTATAATTAGTTAAAACCATATTCCTCCCTTTCCCCATACAACATCTCTTCCCTTAATCAAATGAAGTTTCACAAATGAACCCACGTGAATAGGCCTAATATTAAATCAGATAAAAACAGGGATTGATGAACCGTCCATGACAACATTAGCGGCCTTTCCAAAATGCATTGAGAAGGCAAAAATCAATGTGGACCAAAGACCTGTCATGTGCATGGCCCTCTCTGCCTAATGGGAATACTTTTACCGCCGGCGAATTACAAGTTGAAAAATTCTGTCTGATTATTGGATATCCATAGCCAAATATGATTTACATTAATGTGCCTAAGTATATTAAGGGCATTTTATCTCGCAGCATCCGAAACAATTGAATAAGTGCCGCTGGCAAGTGCGCGGCGGTCTGGGGAATATCGCGGAGGTAATGTCGCTTTAATTACTAATGGATTCCTCAATTGTTCGGACTTTGATTTTTCATCTTTGGCTACAATCTAATAAGGCGAATATTCATCATCCTCATATCCCCTTTTAAAACGATGATTTTGTCAATGTCCCCGCGGCGCAGTTATTCAAAGAAAGTGGTCATTTATGCCAAGCCTCTTAAGATCAACGGTTTATTTGAAGATTGCTTTCAAAAGATTGTTTCTTTGCGAGGGAGTGGAGAAGAGGAGAGGTCTTTTCATGCCCAATTGGAAATGTCTGATGGAGTTAGCCCCCGGCATCGACCTTGTTAGCCGGGACAGACATTGTAAAAATTCTCTTTAGAAGTCTAATTGTGGCCTGTGTTTGTCATTGAATGAACGTTACATCCTGTCCAGTCAATGGTCTTGATTAAATTGTATAGAGTGCGCTGACCCCGGCTTTATTATAAGCAGCTGTGTTATTCCAAGATGGCGGAGTGTAAATCATGAGCCGGCCTGACCCGTAGCTTTGAGGAGTCAACACGGATTCAGCAGAGCATGAGACGTACAACACATCTGACATTGGACTTTAATTAGGTTAAAACACTAGGGTTAAACGCCCCGATCACATTTATATAATGCATACAAGGTCTCGCTGACCTCCCATTCTGCCGCTAATGCTGAATATGTGCTTAAATTAAAACAAAAGTGGCAGCTCCCTCAGAGAGAGATGGTTCAGCAGCTAACGCCAAAACAATGAGGAAGAGTTTCATGATGAACGGTTTAGTGTTGGTATTCATTAGTGCCATATGAACCTACTGGGACTCTGAGGAGCACAGGGACCGGCCTCCTGCTGGGACTCTGAGGAGCACAGGGACCGGCCTCCTGCTGGGACTCTGAGGAGCACAGGGACCGGCCTCCTGCTGGGACTCTGAGGAGCACAAGGACCGGCCTCCTGCTGGGACTCTGAGGAGCACAGGGACCGGCCTCCTGCTGGGACTCTGAGGAGCACAGGGACCGGCCTCCTGCTGGGACTCTGAGGAGCACAGGGACCGGCCTCCTGCTGGGACTCTGAGGAGCACAGGGACCGGCCTCCTGCTGGGACTCTGAGGAGCACAGGGACCGGCCTCCTACTGGGACTCTGAGGAGCACAGGGACCGGCCTCCTGCTGGGACTCTGAGGAGCACAGGGACCGTCCTGCTGCTGGGACTCTGAGGGAGCACAGGGACCGGCCTGCTGCTGGGACTCTGAGGAGCACAGGGACCGTCCTGCTGCTGGGACTCTGAGGGAGCACAGGGACCGGCCTGCTGCTGGGACTCTGAGGGAGCACAGGGACCGGCCTGCTGCTGGGACTCTGAGGGAGCACAGGGACCGGCCTGCTGCTGGGACTCTGAGGAGCACAGGGACCGGCCTGCTGCTGGGACTCTGAGGAGCACAGGGACCGGCCTGCTGCTGGGACTCTGAGGAGCACAGGGACCGGCCTGCTGCTGGGACTCTGAGGAGCACAGGGACCGGCCTGCTGCTGGGACTCTGAGGAGCACAGGGACTGGACTCCTGCTGAGACTCTGAGGAGCACAGGGACTGGACTCCTGCTGGGACTCTGAGGAGCACAGGGACTGGACTCCTGCTGGGACTCTGAGGAGCACAGGGACTGGACTCCTGCTGGGACTCAGAGGAGCACAGGGACCGGCCTGCTGCTGCATGGTGCTCTGTAATAAACATGTGGAGGCAGCACTTTGCAGGTTTACTGTATGCAGCATAAATCTGGAGCAGTCTTCCTGAAGTTGAGAGACTTCTTCTCTGACAATGTTCCAATCCAGGTCACAAACTGTTATATTTAGCTGCTCATAACAACTGAAGGATTCCATCTAATGTACAGCGAGTAGTTATTATAACATATATAAGTATTGTGCACAGTGTAATATGTGTAGTCATCAATGATATTGTTTTGGTCAGACCAGTTTGTTTATGTTTTATATTTGATGGAAACCCTACAGAGCAGAAGGTTCTGGCTCTGGGCTCTGACGTCGGTCTGCTTCTGTCTGCATCCTCTTCCACATAATAACACATACATGACATACATAATAACACATACATGACATACATAATAACACATACATGACATACATAATAACACATACATGACATACATAATAACACATACATGACATACATAATAACACATACATGACATACATAATAACACATACATGACATACATAATAACACATACATGACATACATAATAACACATACATGACATACATAATAACACATACATGACATACATAATAACACATACATGACATACATAATAACACATACATGACATACATAATAACCACATACATGACATGCATAATAACACATACATGACATACATAATAACACATACATGACATACATAATAACACATACATGACATACATAATAACACATAGATGACATACATAATAACACATACATGACATACATAATAACACATACATGACATACATAATAACACATACATGACATACATAATAACACATACATGACATGCATAATAACACATACATGACATACATAATAACACATACATGACATGCATAATAACACATACATGACATACATAATAACACATACATGACATACATAATAACACATACATGACATACATAATAACACATAGATGACATACATAATAACACATACATGACATACATAATAACACATACATGACATACATAATAACACATACATGACATACATAATAACACATACATGACATGCATAATAACACATACATGACATACATAATAACACATACATGACATGCATAATAACACATACATGACATACATAATAACACATACATGACATACATAATAACACATACATGACATACATAATAACACATACATGACATACATAATAACACATACATGACATACAGTGGGTAATGATCACAATGCAGTACGTCTTGTTTAAAGATTGGGCAGTCTTTTCCACCTGCTGCCGCCGTGTCCTCTGTGGCTCTGCAGGATCACGGCTCCTCTCGGTGTCAGCCACGGCCATATAAATCCAATCCATTATTATTATTATTACATGTAGAAAAATCCAATCACAGAGGTGCAGCCAATAGTTAGACCTTATGCTAACATGACCCCAGGAAGAATAAAACCGACTAAAATGTAAAACTCATTCGTCATTGTTTAAACGGATTGTCTTGTCGGTTCCAGTGCCATTTATCTGCACACAAACCTCTCAGATACATTTACACAGCCCTGTCTTCAGAAAGGCACTGGTTAAACCTCTGTCTGTTCCAAGCACCGGCCATCACTCATCTTCCCATCGCCGTTCTTGTGCATATTTGACCCGTGCCGAAATGACCCATTAAATTTAATTGAGATAGATATTCTTCTTAATTAAGACTATATTTCAAGTAAAGTTATCAAACTCCTCCGTCCGCCTGGTCGCGGTTCCAACGCTTTCAAAGTCTGACTCATGTACAGGCTCTTTTCTTTTTTCCTCTCTACGCGGCGAATGTCATTGCTATGATGGTTTTATTGCTTCAGACCCTTTGCCGGGCAGGTTACGGGAGCGGCGGCACGACTGATGAGCGTGGCAGGAAATTGGCAGATGGAAGCATCCATTTCACCGCTAATTACCGCGTCCCGAAGCCCAAGGAATGACAGAGTTCAACCAGGCAATGTAGTGCCTGCCAGCTCCCATCCCACACGCTTTATAAAACGCTCTTTAATTCCCCAGCACAATATCATTAACTTTGTAAGTGCATGAACACAATGGACAAGCAATTTAATTAACTTCTACCATTGAATGTTGGAGGGGAGACTAAATGGAATTAATGCACAATATTTTTCCCAGGGAGGCAGCCAACCTTGGTCTGGGATTGTTGGCAGGTCACAAGGAGTCCCGTAGCTTTGGACAATTATGCCTTGTTTAGACCCATCCATAATGTTTTCTTCAAAAGAAAATAAAATCAGTGGTTTTGAGATCAATCGTGAGCGCATGTCGCAGCGTATCGGGGCAGATTTTAGGATAATGAAGTCCGGAAACGGCCCGCCAAAAGCCCTTAGACGTCGCGTTTTGAGGCGAAATGCTGCAGTAACGTCTCTGGACCCTGCGCAGAGTTTGGGGGGAATTGAGCTTGTTAAAAATGCAAACAGTGTTACGGAAATGAAATGAAAAAGGCCTTGTCGTGTCTGCCTGCTTCAGAATGTTCAAACGGAGGCTTGGTTTGGGACGGGTCGATACTGGGCCCTGGCTCGGCCAATAAAACCAATTTCTCTGCAAGGTTTGCTCATGAAGGAGACCATTAAGGAGCTCGACTTTCAATTTAATTACCTCAGAATAAATAATTTCCGCAGTTATATCAGCAGCTGCACCTCCAAGTTAGAAGACAGATTGGATGCTGTAGGATCGGGCCATGTTTCATCTCCAGTTTACATGATCTTTCTGAATTAAGAAGAAGTTTTCATTTATCTGTCTTCATGTTGGTTGGATTAGCTCATTACGATAATGGGAGGCTGTAATGAAATATGAGACGGCCGTTTTTGCCTTTCAATTAATCGATTTTAAAAACGATTGCTTGTTTCAGCCCTGTTAACTTGTAACCGCCCTATAAAACAGACAAACATGTGTCTGCTTAGTCTGAAATCTGCTGAGGACGTGAAAAACACCTGATGATGAATGCAAAGTCATTTTATACTTTGGCATTTTTTCACATTCTAAAACATGAAATGCCAAAGTTAGTAGAGTCATTGTTGTGTTTAAGGGCCAACAATGATGAAGAACTTTTTAAATGTATAATAAAATCCTTCAATTCAAAAGAGTTACTCTGTGCTCCTGACATGAGTATTAAAATATATTATCTTACGCATACACATATGACCCATTTTTCAAGTTATTCATGGATTGATACCAGCGTCTTTCCGACTTTCCGATTCCGTGTATATCTGTAGCAGAGCAGTCCCCGCAGACCTCTCCCTCTAAAGATGACCTCAGCTCCTTCACACCACAGCGAGTGAGCGACTAAGTTTTAATGAGAGTTTTGTCGGTGTCCCAGTCAGGGCTTTCCAGGCTGACCGTGAGTAATGGACACGGCTCAATACTGGGAATGCTCCATCAAAGGGGAGGGAGGTGAAGGCCTTGGCAAACAGCGCAGGTTTGGTCTGACAGCAGTGTACGGGGTTTCCTATAGATTTTATTTATTTGGATGTGTACAACATTTATAGCCAAGGCTAATTTGCGATGTCTGTCGCTGAGATGGGCTTTTAACACAATGAAAACACATCGGTACAGTCTCATTATGCAAAGCCAGGGGTCGCTCACACAACTGCACTTTTACTTTGAGGAATCGCTTCAGTTCATGTTAAAAACCAGCTCAGTCCAAGTTCAGTTTATGACGGGCGGTTTCACTTTTCCATTGGTGGAATCTTGTGTGATGGAGCTCACATACCTCAGAGGAGCAGCAGGGGGCGCCACTGTGCAAAAATGTATACAACAAGTCAAGATTTCAGAAGTGAATATAATCAAAATCAAAACTAGGAAAATGTAGTCTGTGAAATACCTGTGACAATGGAGTGTTCTTTTTGGCTTTTTGTCCAATAATTGTTTGCCTATTTTTACCTGTCTCCGACCGTTTTCACCCAGAGAGCTACTTTCTCAGGACGATAAAGGCAGAGAGCTACTCCTTTTATCATCACATATTTGTTACTAGTGCACAATGTCAGTGCATTTACAGTAATCCATATTGATAACTAAAAATACAATCTGAAAAATTAAGTATATTGTTTGGTTTGTTCATTTCTAAATCCTTTGGCGGGCTACCTGGAAGGGGGTGGCGAGCTACTGGTGGCCTCTTGAGCTACAGGTTGGAGAGGATTCTTACTGGTTTGATGGTGGAAGCTGTGAGGTGGGACCCGCCGGGGAGACCGTAACGGATTTCAGCAAAAATCCTGCCATTTTTGAGGACATAATCTGCGTTTAAAGGTAGACAAGCCCAAATAATGCTTTTTCAAAATCATGTAATTAAGATATTGGTTTGTTTTTCTCCAAATGTCACCGCCCAGATGATTTAGAGCTAGAGTTTGTTAGATATTCTAGGATTGCAGAATGAGCATGTTCCAAGCATCAGCATTGTCCCACTCTCCTTCGGTGTTTCTCGTGAGCAGATGCAGATTTGTAGAGACTGTTTTTGTCCTGGTTCTGGTCTGGATCTCGCGGAGGTGTTTTGGGGCCTTACGTCTCAATGGGCCCCTGATGAGAGAGGGCCGGTGTTTGAACAGAGAGAGAATCCTGGTGTGTGCCGTCCACGGTCTCTGAGAATGTCAAGAATGTGTCTTTGTTTGAGGCTGATGTTTAAAGTGACAAATGAGGATGTTTTCTTCAGAGTCGATAGCAGGACAGATGGAGAAAGTGCTAAAGTACAAGCACCTCACGATCTGTCGACGGCACATCAATAATCTTAGTTAGCATTCTGTCAATACTTCAACAATTACCATAGATATTCATTAGCTTTGCTCCATATCCTTGGTCTATACTTTTCACCGAAACTAACTACCAGAAGGAAACTGTTAGAATCTAAATCAGAATTAAACAGTTAAACAGTAAACTAATAATAATGATGATGCATCAGTTTTATACAGTGCTCCTCAGAGTCCCAGCAGGAGGCCAGTCCCTGTGCTCCTCAGAGTCCCAGCAGGAGGCCAGTCCCTGTGCTCCTCAGAGTCCCAGCAGGAGGCCAGTCCCTGTGCTCCTCAGAGTCCCAGCAGGAGGCCAGTCCCTGTGCTCCTCAGAGTCCCAGCAGGAGGCCAGTCCCTGTGCTCCTCAGAGTCCCAGCAGGAGGCCAGTCCCTGTGCTCCTCAGAGTCCCAGCAGGAGTCCAGTCCCTGTGCTCCTCAGAGTCCGGGCTGGTTCATATGGGACTAACATGTCACTAATATATTTTGGTGCGAGGCCATGGAGAGACTTGTAACAAGCAGAGCTGTTTTAAAGTCTATTCTCTGAGCCACAGGAAGCCAGTGCAGAGACCTGAGGACTGGACTAATGTGGTCGTACAGTACTTCCTGGTTCTAGTCAGGACTAATGTGGTCGTACTTCCTGGTTCTAGTCAGGACTAATGTGGTCGTACTTCCTGGTTCTAGTCAGGACTAATGTGGTCGTACTTCCTGGTTCTAGTCAAGACTAATGTGGTTGTACTTCCTGGTTCTAGTCAAGACTAATATGGTCGTACTTCCTGGTTCTAGTCAGGACACGAGCTGAAGAAGACGGGAAGACTGTTGCAGACGTCTGAAATGCTCATGTTTCTTCCTTAATGTTTAGTCCTGATGATGTAATCAGCATGTCCCCCTGTCCCCCCCCCCCTGCTTTCATCATGGGCTGTTTTACAGATTAGGGACGTCAGATTGCATTGTAACTCCTGTGGACGCTCAGGGGGATGTTGATCCTCTAATAATCATTCTCAAACTTTGGGAATCTTAACTGATTGAAAACATGTGCGGTAGTTGCCGTCTGTTGTAGTAACCGTAGATTTAGTGTCAGTCACAGCAATATCTCCAATCACTTCCACTACAGTCCAACCTGACTATAAAAGCCTCTGTTCGCAGTAGAGAGCGTGTGACATTGGGGTCTTATTACTGTGCATCTCCTGAAGTCGCCATTAAAACCCCTCCATCTTTGTGATTCATCCCCCGTGAGTCCCGCTCTGTCCCGGGACGCCGCATTACCCCGCGCAGTTGTCGCACGCACTAACCGCCGAATGTGTCAGCTCTCCGGGGACTCGGACTCTTTCCCTCCGCACAGATTGGAGGTGAGACCTTGGAGAAAAATTATTACTTTTATGTTTGCTTTATGGCTCATTTTTCACATTAAACGCGGGGAATCTATTCAGAGGTCACGCGATTCCTGCTTCTCTCCTCCGGCCAGAACTAATTTTTGCAGCCCCTGATATCGATAAAGCATTGAGGCGAGTGCGACATGCAGGAAATGTACTGCGCTGCTCCAGTCTCTATTCCGAGCTCCGCTGGGACTTGTTCTGCCCTTATCTTCCGGACCGGCTGAAATGTCATCAGTGCAAGAGGCGGCTGTATTGCTGACTCGGGCCAAAGGAGGCCAGGACTGTTGTGTTCATCAGAGATTATTCAAGTTACAACATAATCCAATCCCACAAATAATGAAAGTAAAATGAATTTATCAGTTTTTTATCTGTTAAATCTGAGTCAAAGCACCACAAATAAAAGTGTGAATAATTTGGTTCTATCACTTGTTTCTGGAACAGTCTTCCTGAAAATGAGAGACCGGGTTCTGCTCTGACAATGTTCAAATCCAGGTTGAAAACATCTGATTGTTTATTCACTCGTTATAATGAACTGTGATTATTTATGATATTTATTTTCTTGTTTTGTGAAGCAGGTTGTGTTGCCTTGTTGTGAACTGTGCTTTACAAAACACTGCTATTATTAATAATTATAATAATAATAGTTCTTCAGGACACGCTTCACATCATTATCCTCTCTCTCCAAACACGGTGGTGATAAACTACTGTAGCCACAGCTGCCCTGGGGCACACTGACAGAAGCCCCTCCCACCACCACCAACCACTCACACACACACCAGACTCATTCTGATGTGGGGGAAGTGTCTTGCCTAAGGACACAACCACAGTTTGGCACTTTACAGCCGCAGCCGCCCCACTGTGGCACCTGCTGTTCTCAGAGGTCTCCCATCACAGCACTAACCAGGCCCTTCCCTGCACAGTCTCAGAGTTCTGACAGGATCTGGCGTTCACAAGTTTTGTCCACTAACACTGATTACATTCACTTTTGATCATTTGCTCCTGAATCAAAAAAGCCACCACTTTTATCGCTGGGTTATTGTCTTTCTGTCTTCCTCCCCCCCCCCCCCCCCCCCCATCGCACCACACTTAATAGACTGCATCTTCCTAATGGAGAAATAAGTAGCAGCTATGGCACTGGGGTTTATAAATATGTAGAATATACTTTTAATTATTTGAAGTGGATCTGGCAGCTAATCAATAAGGAGCTACGTGACAAACATACACTCGACACGGGCCGTCGCGGAGCCGCTGGTGGGAGATGGCGCCGGCTGTCAGCACGCCGCCCGTGATAGCCATTCGGAGGCTCTTGTTGTAATGGGACAAATGGATTAATTGCTCCGTGCTAATATAATGGCTTCTTAAGGAGGGCAGAGGAGACGGAGCCAAAGACGTGATGTGTGTTCGGAGAGAATAAATACTGTTTCTATCGGAGGGTGTGGGGGAAGACGGGCTTTCTGCAATTACGACGATGACCACTGAAGATACGTTTATTATTCATTGTGGGAGTTGATGCATGGGTTAGAGAAGCGGGAGGTTTGGGAGGGTGAAGCATAGACTGATTACATTCTCACAATAACATAAAAAAGTGAAGGTTCAGTCCTTCAGTGGTTTGCAAAGCTGAACACAACTGTTTTCAACCCGGATTTGAACCTTGTCAGAGAAGAAGCCTGTCTCACATTTGCAGGAAGACTTTAGCTGCGTAAATCTGATATGTTGCCTCCTCGTGTTTAGTCCTGACTCTGAGGCCAGTCCTGAATCACTGTTGATTAGAAAAAGTAGAAACGGTTTAAACCTTGTCAGAGTCGAAGCCAGGTTGTACTGCATACTGTACATATGGAAGGCTGCCTCTCCATATTTAGTCCTGTTAAAATATGTTTATCATTAATTGTGGGAGTTGATACATGGGAAAATAGAACCAGTGGTTGCTCAGTGTTGGTCCAAAGGCTGCTTTTAAAATGAAATGTTTCTGGCAAAGAAATCTGACATTTTTGTCTCTTGACGAAGCAGTGAGAAGGTCCTGGGTCCCGGTTGTCTGGAAGTCAGTGCTGACACCCAGTCTTCATAGCCCCCGGCCCTCTCTGATCCTCAGCCTTGGTTTTTCAGCCAGAGCAGGTTAAGTGTCTTGCCCAGGGACACAACGACAATCAATGGGAGTAGATGAAGTTGGTCTTGTAAGAGAATCAAACCCACGACCATTAGCCTGGCCTTATCCATCCGTACTCTCCGGTCAATCATCATGTCCTGCATGTGACGTCTGTGTCTGGTCCCTGTGTTTGTGATTACAATCTGTTGAATTCCATCCGACCAATCAGAGAGCGCGGGAGGCGGGTGTTGTAGTTAGATGTGGTTGACGCTGGATCTAAGTTAATTGCTGCAAAGATTGTGGCGCTACTCCCCACGGGCTTCGTTAGCAGCAAAGGAGATGGCTAAAGCTAGGCTAAATGCTAAAGCTAGGCTACATGCTAAATGCCTCACTCACTCAGGCTCATTACAAACATCACAGTAAACTCAAATCCAATGGTTTCAATCTGCAAAAGGAGTTAGCCCCTCCCACCTGTTCACGGAGTCAATGGAGCAAATCCAGACCTTAGTACGAAATGTAATTAGTACTATGGTGTGGTAAGACCAGGCTAGTTCAAACCAAACTTCCGGTCAGATTCAGAAAACATTATTGTCAACAAAACCGTCAGACACATCAACATTCAACAAGAACACAAAAAGAACCCAACATAGAACCAAGATGAGACAATAACATATAAATATAAATAAAAAACTTACACAAGACCTTTGGGCCTCCTTCCCTCGGCCTGAACATCGACTCGTCTGATTGGACCAGCCACAGGTGTGACTCATTGGAAGTCCGTCTATAGTCTACTGTACATTTACCGTCCACGCCGCACCATCTCGCCGTCGGCTCCGGCCTCTGCATTATTTATGAGAGCGGCCACATCTTGAGATTAAACATTTGCTGATTTGTCAAAAGCACAAACATGAGGTCCTGCCCGTCTCTCCTTGACACATCAGATCAACCGCAACACACCAAAAAAAACCACACTGTCGCACATTTAATTGATGAGAGCCGCTGCCCCAAACCCTCTCTCCCCCGTTCTGCCTCTCGCTCCTTCTTTCTTTGGCGGGACGGGACAAAGAAGGTCAAACTTCCCCTTTCCCGACAGAGCTTCCTGGAAATACCACACGCCGCGACTTATTCCACTTGTTTTTATGTTCGCTTTCACCTCGACGTGCCGCTAGCTTAGGACAGAGATGGATTGAGAGTTGACGCAAAGGGAGGAGTTGGCTAAAATGGCGCCATCTGTCAAAACCGCCGCGGTATATAGCAATTTTCTGGGGAATTTCGCTTGAACACAGCTAAGACATTTACAGACCAGAACGCCATTCTCTATCTTTCCAAATTGAAGGAATATTTGCGCAATTAATTACCGGCGTGACAGACAATGGATCAACTCTAGTCTGGGTTTGATTGATGGTGTTAGCTGATGGTATGGTCGTTTGTTTTAACCCAGCATTAACGTGACTGCGCCGTACAAAAGTGAGCTTTCAAATGCTTTCTCTTTCACTCCACAAACCCAATGCCGCTATTTTTCCACAACTATACATCACATTTTTGACAATTAATAATTTGTCCAGCATGGGTTGTCAAAGATCGGGAGTGTGCATTTAGTCGGGTATAATGCAGGAGTCTGAAAGGTCAATACGCGACTCTAAATAAATTGTGTTTGCAGAATCAAAGGCTGCTATGTCACTCAATGTCAAAACATAAGTAGTAAATTTCATCGGCGCGTCGTGCCAGAGAGCTACTCCAAAGTGTGGGCCGAGTAATGAATCAGATTTAAACATGTCCAAAGTTTGGTGGGGTGATCCATCAAGCCAAAGTAAATAAACTTGTTTTTATTTGAACGGAAAAATGAAGAATAATCCTGTAAATAGAGGTTTAAAATGATTATTATATATTATCTGGTGTTTAGTCAGACTGTCGGATTTGAATATGGTTTTAGTCAATTCCATTCAATGCTTTTTTTGTATCGCCCTACGTCACAACAGCTATTGCCTCAGATCTGCGTAGGTTTCCTCCGGGTGCTCCAGTTTCCCCCACCACTAAAAACCTGCTCACCAGGTTAAGTCCTCCAGCTCTGGTCCTGACCAAGAGCATCAACATCTGGAGCTCCCGGGCGCTGTTACTACGGCGACCACTGCTCCTGACGTAAGCCTCAGGGCATCAGGATGGGTCAAATGCAGAGGATGAAATGTCCTACGGGGATTAATAAAGTGCACCTTTACCTTTACCTTCAGAAGACTTTGCAAATTTGTCGATTCATCAACAGCAGATCAGAGAATCGAACAGTAGAGACTTGATCTTTTCTCTCTGGTTGATTCCAGTGAAGCTTGATTTCATTTAATATCTGACTAATACATTAAATCACGTTCTAAAATATTAGAATTCTAAACTCTATATTACATACAGACGGCTAATGCGTAGCATTTGTTCTAGCTAACGTTCAATCCACATAACATCTAACTATATGCAGTCAAACTAGTTCCTCGCTCCCAAAACAGTTTTTCTATCAGTGGTTTTCACATGAACGTCTTTAGAGCAGCTCTGTCAAAGACTGCTCTCACTCAGCCCAAAGCGTCAAATAGTGACTCACAGGGCTCTTTCTTACATAAACAAACAATAATATCTTTTCTAATAAGATGGACCCCACTATGATTATGAGCTAAAGCCAATTCCTAGTTTGTGACGACCTGTGACTTTTAATGGCAATAACAAGGATTCTGATTCTGATGCTGCTCCATGTTTCTGTCTTTTCTGCACTTTTTTGTCTTGAATTCTATGAATACTGCCCCATTTCAGCTCGGTTTGTATGTCATCGTTTATATGTCGCCCCTGTCCCAGACCCCACCGTCTCCTCTCCTCTCCTCTCCGTCTCCTCTCCTCTCCTCTCCGTCTCCTCTCCCTCTCCTCTCCGTCTCCCCTCCGTCTCCTCTCCGTCTCCTCTCTGTCTCCTCTCCTCTCCTCTCTGTCTCCTCTCCCTCTCCCTCTCCTCTCCTCTTCGTCTCCTCTCCTCTCCTCTCCGTCTCCTCTCCGTCTCCTCTCTGTCTCCTCTCCCTCTCCTCTCCTCTCCTCTCCTCTTCGTCTCCTCTCCTCTCCTCTCCTCTCCGTCTCCTCTCCGTCTCCTCTCCTCTCCTCTCCGTCTCCTCTCCGTCTCCTCTCCTCTCCTCTCCCTCTCCTCTCCTCTCCTCTCCCGTCTCCTCTCCGTCTCCTCTCCTCTCCGTCTCCTCTCCGTCTCCTCTCCTCTCCTCTCCTCTCCTCTCCGTCCCCTCTCCTCTCCTCTCCTCTCCGTCTCCTCTCCTCTCCGTCTCCTCTCCTCTCCGTCTCCTCTCCTCTCCTCTCCGTCTCCTCTCCTCTCCTCTCCTCTCCCTCTCCTCTCCTCTCCTCTCCTCTCCTCTCCTCTCCTCTCCTCTCCTCTCCTCTCCTCTCCCTCTCCTCTCCTCTCCTCTCCTCTCCTCTCCGTCTCCTCTCCTCTCCTCTCCTCTCCGTCTCCTCTCCTCTCCGTCTCCTCTCCTCTCCTCTCCTCTCCTCTCCGTCTCCTCTCCGTCTCCTCTCCTCTCCTCTCCTCTCCTCTCCGTCTCCTCTCCTCTCCGTCTCCTCTCCTCTCCCGTCTCCTCTCCGTCTCCTCTCCTCTCCTCTCCCTCTCCTCTCTCTCTCCGTCTCCTCTCCTCTCCTCTCCGTCTCCTCTCCGTCTCCTCTCTGTCTCCTCTCCGTCTCCTCTCCTCTCCTCTCCTCTCCTCTCCTCTCCGTCTCCTCTCCTCTCCGTCTCCTCTCCTCTCCCTCTCCTCTCCTCTCCTCTCCCTCTCCTCTCCTCTCCTCTCTCCTCTCCTCTCCTCTCCTCTCCTCTCCTCTCCTCTCCTCTCCTCTCCTCTCCTCTCCGTCTCCTCTCCTCTCCTCTCCTC